CTCCATCTAAAAATCAAATCAAGCCCCACAGCTGCTATCGAATCCCGTAACCACCTCAAACCCAGACAGTAATGGATGTATTAAAAAGTTCCGTGAATTAACTGCAGCTTTCAGACTTTGGCCAGGGTGAGCATATGATCATTCGCGACAGGTTTTGGTGGTGGAGTAAAACTTCAGCAATGATTTGATGCTGATGATATGCGCATAGATCCTAAAACGACAATCTGTCAATATTCCCGTGACAAGCTTAGAAAACAAAATTGGCAAAGAGGTTTTCGCTTGTTCATCTTCAAGCGAAAAAAACTATATGAATAACAAACATATGAGCCATAAACTGTGCTTATAACTGTCAGGGGTGGGGGGCTAGGTACACTATGTGTTTCAGGACTTTTGTATGACCAGATCAGCGTGTATTAGTCGATAGCTCTGGGAAAAGGGAGGCGAAATTAGAGTTTAACAATTACGTACAGATCGCGGAATGATACTTTTTTCGAGTCTTTAAATGCAACGTATCAAAATGGAAAGTGGCAAGCACATTCTCGATAATGAATCGCTAGGCCTCTCTCATGAATTCTTATCAAAAATCCCGAAACTTGCCTTCGATTAGAAATAATTACTAAGGTAAAATTTGAATCTAGCATAATCTCAAGATATTTCAATCACGCCAGAACACCGAATTTACAAAGCCATCCGTTTCGACCGTCTGCAGTATGCGCACTATGTTAAAGACCACTTAAGTAATATACACTTCTTATCTTATCTTCGATGACTTAATGAATAAAAAATTTTAGTTTTTCTAAAACAGGCGCTAAAATATTGTTTTCTTCTTTAAACTGCATGCTTGAACACAAGGTATCTTGAGGTCTAAAAAAGGTTTGTAATTTTTAAATTTTAGGAGAACGAAATGTCTATTTACGCAGCATTCTATCTGCAAATTAACGACATGTTCACTTCCATCGCACAATTTAGTGAACCGCATATTATTGCTTTTAAGAAGCGTAAGGAAATTTTGATTTTCAGTGCAAAGTAAACGTCAATCAATTTGGAAAAATTTATGCGGTAAGACGGGTACAAATATGTTTGCAAACGGAAAACGCCTTCTGGAACTCACTAGTACCCTTTCTTAAAACATAAGATTTAATAGAGATCGCAGATGCGAACAAATTGGTATAAAACTGTTCTGAAGTAATGCGTTCATTCTCCTTGGTATTGTATCACTCTGATTATTAATGTATGACACACGATTTTGCCAATCTGACTTTAAAATCATAACGCCGGAGATTTTGCAGATAAAGGGATATCTTTCGTATGTTTTTATATTATATACTGGAATTTATATGGGCATCAAATATCAATGCAAACGTTTGTAGTCATTTTTACTCAGTGCATTACTCGCAGCCAGCTTAATAGTATCGCATTTCTAAGCCACCATTCTGTAATGATGGCAATTTCTGAAGATTCTATTGCATGAGAATGGACATTACAACCCCACTTCGATAATTCCCCATTACCGACATCACATTTAAGAATTTCAGTTAAAATACCAGAAGCTCGACAACGTACTGTATTCAAAGAACCGAAATATGTCCTGTTTAACACGTTTTGGTCAGTGCTGCTGGAAGAGGGGATGAAGATGTTGGTAAGCGACGTTCAAGTGTGCCCGAGCATCCTTCAGGGATTGATTGGTGAGCGTTAGCCACGGAAAGTACAGTATTTGCGCCAAGGCATTCTGACAGAAAAAGGTTTGGCATGACTTAATGCATAGCTATTGTCTCGGTTAATGCTAGTAGTGTTAGTGTATGCCTTTAGTGTAGCTTGCTGGTGTCCAGTAGACAACCTCAAAGACTTTTGGCGTCAAATTAGTGATTACTGTCGAGCAGGTGTACGAGAATCGAAATCAAAATCAAGTTATTTGAACCACTGTCGATTCAGGCAAATGTCTTCATGTATTCTCTTTCTCAGACGCCCCGTTGTACAGATTGGGTAAACAGGTAAGGGCTTTTTTGGTCTCTACCTCTCAGTCGTAGGATGGACGTCCGTATGCAAAATAGACGCTAGTCCACCACAGTGAAAGCGCGCGTGACAACCGCCTTTGGACGCCGCCTTACTAATTCGCATGTCACGTCACATTCAAAAGACACTGTAAAAAACACGACTCTTCTTGCTTCAGTCACGATGGTAGGCTTTGCAGTACGCTTCCCTTTCCCTGACTCGTAGGTTAATTCTTAAAATTGTTATCGTGGTCAGACGATGAATTACAAAATTATTTGTATCTTATATTTCATTTAAAGAAGGCTTAAATTGCAGGCACATTTATAGATGATGTGAATCCTGCTTTAAGCGGCTTTAACGTTAGAAAACTGTTTTTTCTGCTACATTATAATAAGGAAAAAATGTAGCTTGAGTAGGCTTTGTTTTCAGATGGAGTGCCTATCCTTTTGATTGGTTATTGCAGTATAGAGAAGTAAAATCGAGATAAATCTATTTACTGCACCATGACAACATCAACCGCGCTGACTTGTATGATTCATTTAAAGTACCTTTAGAGTGTGGGGTACGTTAACGTAGCTGAATGTTATGCTAACTGGAATCATTGCGAAAACTCTGAGGTTGCCCCCTTTCAGTAATCTTTTTTTATTTCGTCTACATATTAAATTGAAGGCCGTACGATTATGCTGTTGCCTACAGTCAGTCTCCTTCTATGTCATGTTGGTGGACGCTATGTAAAAGAGAGAGGGTAGTTTTATTGCCTTTTTCCTTCAAGCCGCACGCAAGAGGAAAAGCAGGGTTATGCGTGATATTATCTGACTTACGCATTTTATCCTCTGTTCTAAGTTATTTGCCATCTGAACACTACTTACATTTAACCAAAACTGGCTAGCGAGCGATGTCCCCAGTCGTTAATATGCCTTCTTTGGAAGTTTCGTTAATTATTTATTTCAAAACCGACCGCTAACGCGGTTGCGTCCCGCCAGCTATCTGAAGAGCTACACGGGCACAATATCCAAGATCAGAGGTGCGGGATGAAACCATCAGACGGGGTGGAGAAAAGCCCTTAAAAATGCACATCTGCGTTGGAAGTAGAAAAAGATTCTCCTCTAAATTGAAAGTACCTTGTCGGCAAGAATGTCGCTAAAAATGCATGACATTTTTGGCGGTGCGTCGGCTTTTAAACTCCAAATGAATGTATGCAATTTCTGAAAACCAATTTGAGGACTGTTCGCGTTTAAGAAATCAACATATGCATCAATAAGTCGATCATCCTGAAACTGAAGTTGAAAATTAGACTAAACTCTCAAACAACAAAAGTTGCCAACAGCTTTTAACCGCCCAAACAATGATAAACTTGATTCACGTAACGCATACCTTGTTTAAAAATTCAGTAACCTTCGAAGATATGAAACAAAGTGTAATGCAGGTATTTTTGTTCAAACTCCGTTAGAACTGAAGCTAGGTTTACGTTTTTATTAAGGTTTAAAGGCTTTTTTAGGCGTAATATTGGAGTGAGGATAGGAACACGAGAATAAGGGCACTTTTTCTAAAATTAAACACAAGGTAGTCTTCATTGCTAAGTGGGGTTACTCTTCGAGTTTCTTAAAGAAAACCATTTAATTGAATCTACCGCAGCGCATGTCAGGCAAATACTCTACCTCAATATTGTGCATAAATTTAATAAATTACTCTATCATCGTACACTGGTTTTAGAAACTTTCCGTATGGGATCTGCACTTTATTAGTATTTACACTTTCTTAAACCTGCTTACTTTACGGGCTTGTGTATTTTTCCAGTGTGTTTTATTAGATATATAATTGAATATCTACAATTAACTTTGAGCCAAAGCTTCCTGTTATATCTGATCAGAAGATATGTCGGCAATGTTAACTAAAAAAGAACTGGAAATATTTTTTTCACGTAATATCTAAAATTATTTGTAGGCAGGTAAACATAGTAAACTTTACAAAGACTCTCCGACAATTAACTAATGTGTTTCTTTTGTGGGCATGCTTATTCCTTTCGATAAGTTGTTTCAAACTTCAGCAGGTGAAAGAGGGCGGAATAAAAGTTTATAGCTCCTCAATACATTTCACAGTTGGTGGTCAGGGTAGCTACGCTTCTTTCCATACTTAGGAACTTTATCCGCTTCCTGATATACTTTTAATGTTTTAGGCGGACATAAAAGGCAGGATTTATTCATATTGATATTAATATCGTTTATGCTTGCTTAAAATTAGTTTTGGTAGTCGATTGAAACGAATATACGAATTCCAGGAAGTAGTTCAAAAGAAGAAGATGCGATCACTGGAACACGAATATCATTGTCCTGAAATGTCTGAAAACATAATTCTTATTCCAGTGATCGCATCTTCTTCTGAATAGTTCTGATTTTTATGTAGCAATATTTAATGTTGCTGACAGCACAGACACCACTTCCAACAAATGTTCATCATCGTCTTTAAATTAAACGTAAGGGTTAAGACTCAGAAGGAAATGTACGCAGGTTTTTCACACATGTTCTAATGAACTTAGAATATAATGCATTGGCTAAATGCTTTGACAATTTATTAGTTTTGTTGAGCAAAAATCGCTTATAGAGAAGAAACAGGTAAAAGCAGATGTCATCTTCGTTTAAAGCGCAATGTTTTCGTTTTTGCACTTTTACCTCATCACTCCCAAACTTCAAGCCTTGTTATAAATACTTCGTGTAGGGCGCCACTTATTTGAACTTCTAAGGCACCTTGAAAGGATATTTCGCGACACGATAGCATCCTTTCGTTCTTTTTTCTTTGCGCCGTAGTGCTTACTGAACTCGCCCGCATTCGAAGTCTCCGTTAAGATTAAGATTTTTTGGCTGCTCAACGTCTTTTAAGTCGGTGCTCTTAAACAGCCAAAAACTGCAGACACAGCAACCATGTTGGCATCATTTGCCTCAGTGCGCATACATTTGCTTTTAATTTTTCTAGGCAAAGATGAAGACTCTTTTGACTTTTACATAGAACACTTAAAAATTAACATACCTGACGACAGAATGCGCCACAGCACGCCCATCACGAATCATGAGGATAAATTTTGAGTTGGGAAAGATTTTGAAAAGGAAGTTCATCGAAGTATCCAAAAAGGGATCCTTGACGCAGTATCTTTCAGCCGGAGGTCCACTGCGAAAAATGATTGTTCGTATGAACTTCAAAAAGGCGATATCAAGAGTGTCTCGGGAGATGCCAGCAGCCGCCAGTCGATTCATCTCTGGTGTTCCAACTAAATGGGAGCTTATATGCAGGATCCGGGGAAGTATTCGAGTTTCTGGCCCGCAGCGAACTTTTGGATGAACGTCCAGCAACACCCGCATCAAGGTTGTCCCTGTGGTGAGAGAAAACTGTTAGACGGTCGAATGATGGTTTTAAAAAACGATGTTATTGTTAAGCTATTGTGGCACAATGGAGATTCGGTGAATGCAATTGCGTTAACAAATGAGTTACTTCTGAGGACGTAGTTAGAGTAATAACATACTTGGGAACCACATCAAAAATTTTTCTTAGCACGCAAACCCTTTAAAATCCACTTCGGGCTGTTTCAATCATAAAAATATAAATGCTTTCTGAAATTCCGATAGCTACTCAAACTCGTAATAGAATTTATCGCCTGTTAGATGCAAAGGATTTCAATTTGCCTGGATTTAAAATGATATGGTAAAATGCCTCTTCGAATTTTGTTTCAAAATTTAATTGATTGATTTTGAAAATGAGCATGGACTTAATCTGATTTTGTCTGTAAAGCCAATACGGTAGGATTAATTGAACGATTACAAATGTTCAAAAGCACACGTACCTGGATTAGTTCTTAACTCGGTTGAGGTTAATGTTGCAGAGGAAAAATATAAATGTCACTCAGGGCAGACGATTATCCGAGCCGCAGAAATACGGCAGTTTCATAATATTTCGAGAGGTATTCTTGGTTTGGTTACTGCTAACATATATTTTCGTTACCAGTTACGCGTATTAAACAGACTGAATGGCTGATAACGGCTAACAAGCCAGAAATGGCCAGTACATTCTCCCTTGTCTTTTCCGATTATGTATATCTGCCTATAATATGCTACCCTCAAGAAGCTGCTGGCTGGGCCGCAGAGCGAGTCCCAAGGCATAACGATAAAAGTGAATTCCGTGCGGATCAGTGAGCGCCCCTCTACAATTTTACTAGACTATGAACATAAAACGGGCATTTTCTGAATGTTGAACTACTTGAAATATGTCCTGGCCCAATATGCCTCATATTCACTTTTCACGTAAGCGCAAGGTAATAAGTTGTAGGTAATGCATTAATCATTTTGAATTAAATGTCAAAAATGCACCTCTGTCAAGACATTTTCTTTAACAAGTTTCATGATCAGTTGGGCAGAAATATAGCGACAGAAAGCACGTACTAGATAAAAATTGGAATTCCTTAATTTTTTTCGATATCCGGTATACATTTTCACACCAACAGGTTGAGATTAGATTTAATTTTAAAAATACAAATCTGAGAACGTGGTTAGGTGAGCATTTAAGACATTTAATTACATTTAGTAATATGACTTGAAAGATTTCGCAGCTTACTCTCGAAAATTAAAAGTTCCCTTGCTGAAACTGAGTCAACAAGCACTTGCAGTATTTTAATTCAAAAAGTCTGCTATCGAACAAGCAAATCTACTACTACTACTAAATCCCAATACTCTGACTGTGTTTTAAATATATATTCATCAAAAATTTTAAACCGCTCATATGTATTAATGTAATCCTTCTTCTTTTTGACAGTCGCAGCTCAACAACAGCGACAAAAGCTGTTTTCCACCGCCACGGTAAAAGTGGTCAGTTAAGTTTCTCGTTAAAAAAGAGGTTATTTTGCATGCTTGGTTTTACAAATTAAAAACCACTGCCGGTTTTAACTCTTCATTTAGCTCATTAATGCTTATTATCTTCGGTTACTTCCTTTTTTTCAGCTTCGCGAAATCTCGCAGAATTTACAATAACGCTTGCAGCTGAAACCTTATGCGCAAACATCACGTAATCATATCTAAAATTCTATCTGCTGCCTTTGTATATCTGTGCTTAAATCTGTAGACAAACTATGCTTTACCAACGAGCAAAAAGGGGGTTGCTCATTTTTATTGCAGAAATTTTCAAAATATGCAACCATAACCCATGCATATGCAGTTTTTCACCTACATTTTGCAGAACCAGTTTAAAATTTACAGCAAATCAGGAATCCTAACACACCAAAACTAAAATTTCTCAGTTTATAAGTGCATTCCATAAACAAAAAAAAA